GCAACCATCTGAACTGTTCGAAGTTTCCGACCAGTTCTTCATCTCTGGCTCGAGTGCCCTTCCCATATTTCTTCGGGGATCAGATCGCATGCTTCTTCCGCGATTCTCCTCCACTGTATACCACCTATGTGTGAATCGTCCAATTCCCATCCTTCGGTTGCTCGGTTCATGGGATGTCGGTTGTTCAATGGGATTGGATGTTTGCTGATCTTCATCATGTGTCGACTCCAACCTCGGTGCAGCTGTTCCTCTAGCACGTTCCGGGCATCTTGGAATCTGTTCGCCATCTTTTACTTCTTCGTCGTCTTCGCTCAAACAGCTGTAGTAGTTGTCGTCTTCGTAGATTGTGGGCGAATTTGTCGTTCGTTGTTTCTCCTCCTTCTCAGAAACTTCTTCGTTGTAGCCGTTTCGCTTTAAATCGTGGAGTGTTTCGCTGTCGGAATCTGCCCTGCTCTCTGTTTCGTAGGACAGATAGGTAACGTCTGGGTTCTCGTTGTATGTGACTGATTTTCTTTAGTCAGTCGTTGTTGTTTCTTCTTGGAGAGATTTAAGTGGCGTCCATCGCCTCATAAGTTAATTGCTCCAAGCTTTCTCCATCTTCATCCACGTCATCTCCGCTTTCAAAATCGTCCCAGAACGCATCCATTCTTTGCTTTCATATTCCGATGCTTCTCTACTCCTCCTGTTTCATCGCTGACAACTCTACTCCTCGGCATGCATGCATATTTCTTCGCTCATCGTCATGAATGCCATCTCTTCCGTTGTTTCTTGTGCTGTGTTTGCTCCTTCTACATTCGCTGTTCCGCTTTGAGTTTTAGGCAATCCGATTTCCTGTGCCCAATCTTTCCACAGTGGAAGCACTTTCCGCTGAACTTCTTCTTTCCTTGAAATCCGCTACTGCTCCATTGTTCCTGCTGAATTTACCGTTTGACTTTCCTTGGTACCTTTGTCCGTAGCTTCTTCCGTTCGAGCCTTTCTTGTCTGGGCAATCTTGTTCTTGTGTCCGATCTTCCCAGTTCCTGCATCTGCCCTTGAATTGTTTTCCTCCATCATGAAAGCTGTTTCGCCATTGTGTCTGTCGACTTGTTCCGTGCCTTAATCTCATCGTAGATTTCGCATAAGTCATCCACCACACTCTTTACCGTTATTCCATGTCTGTTGTCTTGATCCTTCGAGAACATTCTTCTTCACTTCATGGTACACTCCGAGTTCTCCTTCCTTCTTCGGCATTTTCTCGAGAAGGTCCTTGATGTACTCTTCGTCCGATATCTTGAACCATCCTTCGCTAGCTTCTTGCGTTTCACGTCGAGTCCAATCTCGAACTTCTTTGGGTTTTCCTTGATGTCCATCTTTACGCGTAGTATTCCGTTCGTCGAGCTGCTACCTCACCACTGTTCTTCAGCATCGTAGAGGTCAGCATGGACTCCCACATGCCCTTGAATTTCCCAGCAGCATGGTCAGTTGTTTGGTGTGAGGCCAGTAGGTCGAAAGGCGACTTGCCCTTCGATGGTCTCCACATTGATCGAATCCAGCAGTATTCCAGAGCCTTGCTGTTCTTCTTCTGCAGACTTTCGATCTTTTCTACTTCGTCGTCCGACAATTGCCCGTACCTGTAGGGTTTCCCAGTTGTCCGGTTTGATCTCCGTAGAGTCTTCATCAGTTCTACGTACCATACTTCGATAAATGGGCCATCATCTTACCTTGTAGAACTGAACTTCTCATCTTTCCCATCGAAGATGGGATACTTGCTCGACGATGATACTCTACCTCCGTAGACATCTTCACTTACTTCTCAATTCTTTCCTTTCTGTTTGACAACCTGAATCCAAGCTCACTCTTTCCTGATAGCTATCGTTTTAAAACGTGTTGAAAAGGTGTGAACTTGAACGCACAATTTCTCTAATTTAATCAATATCTTCCAGCTCTACTGTCTAGTAGACTGGCTATTCGTTCGTTTTCTCTTTCTCTCTCGTTCAGATTGTGAGCTCTACAACTGAGCTCCGATATGCATACATATACCAGGATCTTTCAATCCTCTGCTTCTCGCAGTTTCATCTACAGATAGATCTCGTCGATCTATCTTCCTGAAGTGCATGTTGGCCCTGGAGGGCTTTCCCACTTTACTAAACCTATGGACCTTCATCCGTCCATTCATTTGCTCCATCCCGTCGCTCCTTGCATTCATCTCCTCGACCTAACTTCCTAACCTTTGTAGTTGCATCATCTAGACGACCATTGTCCTCTTCCTCGTACACCTGTTGGCCATCTGATGATGATCGGATAACCATCTGATTTGAGTCACACATCCCCAATCACGAACCGTGATTGTGGATCCCGAGTCGTCTGTCCGTCATACGAAAATACCTTTCTGACAGGAAGGCACCCGGTGACGTAATAAAGTCGTGTTTTCTTGAAAGTCGCGAAAATCGCTAAAAGTCGCGTTCTTTCGCCACTTTATAATCCTTAGCCACTTCACCACAACTCCACCGCGACTTTACCGCGACTATTACGACGACTTTTGCGAATACCGCGACTTCTGCGCGACTTGCAACTTTACTAAGCAAAACCCTGTATTTTACAACGACTTTACGCGACTTTTAGCGCGACTTTAAAGTCGTTCACGACTTTACTGTGACTTTACAGCGACTTTATCGCGACTTTAAAAGCGACTTTCGCGACTTTAAAGCGACTTTATAACGACTTTTGCTTATAACGCGACTAACCATTGCGAACCGGGCGCCTTCCAGGCAGGCGAAGCCTCCAGAGGTTTCTGCGGCAGTCGGAGGATGCTCAGGGAATTCTCCCTCCACAATTTGGCACTTGTGAGGTACTAATAGATCCTGTTGTTTGAGTACACTAGCTAGAGTCTAGCTAGCTAGGAGCAAGCAGCGGAGTGGTGTGGCTATTGGTGACCATATTCCTTCAACCTTTTACTGTGAAAAGGAAGGCCAAACGTTTTGAAAGTCTTGTTTGTCCCATGGCCAAGGCGGTACTAGTAGATCTTTTGGTAGAAGTTTGGTACTGGATTTCCTGTAGTCTTTCTCCTGGGAGCCTAATCTATTTTCTTGTGCTTTTGCCTGGACTTTGTCCACGGAGGCCTGGACTTAGTCCTCGGAGGCCTGGACTTAGTCCTCGGAGGCCTGGAGCGAGGATGCATGAGAGGACATTCCCACTTCTCAGAACCCAGCCAGTTGAACAGGTCCGCGCTCTCGCATGTCAAGGATGTCATCAAGAGGTCGCATAATTTGCATTGCATTGCTTTCAGAAGACCACAAGCCGAACATGGATGAACTGACTAGCTGGGGGGGGGGGGCTCCTCGTTATACACATTTATTTGACTACTGGCACTCGAGACTCAAGGCCGTGGTTGGGCCATTGTGCCTGCAGCAGTCAATCAGCCACCAATTATGATGAGCCCAATCTGGTACAGAACCGCAGAACCGCGGAAGCAACCTGTGGGAGTCGAGTCCGTGATCATCGTGGAGCATAGTGGACTCGGCCAATTTTGAGGCTTCAGTGTGTCTGGGTTGGCTTGGATGTCACGTCGCTCCCCCCCAAAAAAACTGAACGTCTAATAACGGATTCAGACGAGATGTGCTTGAGGACTACCCACGAGCTAAGGCTCGGGTATTTCCCACAGTCAAGTCTGCTCACCGGCCACACTGGCCTCCTGAGAGGTCGCTCCCAGTTCGAGGATTTCGTGGTTATGTCGCCTTTTCGGCTGGCTGACCGTGGTGCACCACCAGGGACCACAGCAGCCACCAGAGCACCAGAACGAGACCTAGCAAACTGGAATCCTTACGCAACGAGGTAGGATAGCTGTGCATGTTGTATTGTGAAGTGATTCCGTGAAACTTCACAATGGGCGGAGCGAATAATTAGTGATTGCCATGCTATTATTGGTGAGAAGAAGTCAACTCGCTCACAGCTGGGAGTACGAAAGATAGATGCTCAGCATGAGTTCTCGAGGGATAATTCCTTCAGCTAGACTACCGTCCCACACCGGCTCACAGAAGCTGTACCTGCTTACCTTGTAACTGCCATACGGTATTTTATTTGGAGGTCGCTGCTTCCCTTTCTGTGAACTCCGCATTCCAATGGCTCTGCTAGTAGTATGATCGATCTATAAAAAGGCTTCCGGGGTGGCTGGAACCCAACTCGAGGCGCTCTGACAGTCGCTGACCTGGGACCTGGATTCGATTCGGTGATCTTCCCGTTCTGTTTGGGTTTCGGAGTTTCGGAGTTGCTTCGCTTCATGTTCGATGTCGCTACGAACGACACCTGCGACCTGCGACTAAACATACTGTGATGTATTGGTACTGTAGCTAGAGTTTGGTTCGTAAAAACGATTAGAAACATCTTCGAGTTCCCTTTACAAGAACAGGTTAGTTTGCCGATATGAACACATGCACTGTACTGTAGTACATGTACCGAAGGCGTACCGGTACTACCGGTACCGCTACGTCGGTACTGTACAGGTGCCTTTCATTCGCGAACCCCCAAATAACGCTAACTGGCCCCTCTGTGAGCTGCCGGTACCATCGCGCTTCAGTCAGAGCAACAAGCTGGAAGGCCCGGTCATACGACTGAAAATCGCCAAAAACGGCGTAAAGTCGCACAAAAACCCCAAAGTCGCATTCAAAGTCGTTCATAAAGTCGCATGAGAGTCGCACCAAGAACGCATGCGACCTTCTCACACGACTTTGAAAGTTGCGCAAGTTTAATATAAGTATGGCGATAAAGTCGCGTCGGATCGCTGAAAGTCGTTTACAAAGTCGTACGCGACTTTGGTACGACTTTCCGAACGACTTTCATTGATCCGACGCGACTTTGACCATAGCAAGACCAATCCGGGACTAAAAGTCGCATGACGAGGCCTTCCTGATCTGCACCTTTCCACTTGCGACCCGAAAAATGCGTCCAGCGAATAACCTCAGCTTGAAGGCCACAAAACAAGTCGCTTTCATATATTTCGCTGATGTTGAAATGTAATGAAAACAATGGAGGATAGAGAAAGAATCTCACCGTGTTTGTCACCTCCAACATTGCGTATTCCTATATCAGGAATCCGTCGCCCAGGCAACAATGGTGCGCTGTAACAGTTGCGGCTTGCTGCATTGGAGGTTCCGCCAAAGCCCGTTCTCACCATAGTGTTTCTGTTGCTGTGATTTCCAGATGTGATGTTTGGTAAGTGCAGATGGTTGTTTCAGCAGGTTATTTTCTATCAATGGTACAGTGCTTCATACCAACATGTCCACACCACAACGACGGTGACAGCAGACCAACATGTCCACACCACAACGACGACAACAGTAGACTGACTCCTTCCCCAAAACGAAGCTACAAATAAGAACGCTCACATGCCTTTTGCGTTTATGCTTCAATCATTTCCAGGCAGAGGAGGGGATACTGTAAGTGAATGTTCTTTCAACGCTAAGACACTGCCTCGTCGTTTATCTGAAAGTGGATAGCGCTCATCAGATTGTCAACTCCTGGCGTTTCGTTCTCGACAGAACTATCACGAGGGAAACCATCGCTTTCGAGCGCTGATAGCTACGCACTACAAAGAGCGGTACCGCAATGCAAAGACAAGGGAAGAGAAGTCCATTATTGGACAAGAGGTTGTGATTCACTGGAGGTCGTCCGATCCTCCAGGAAGGTTTCTGACAAGGACCGACGCATCTTTAGGTAGCAACAGTTTGTGGCACGACGTCGGAGACGAAATGGCGTTCAGGAAGGCCATCAAAATCCTCGGCGAAAAGACAAAAAGACAACGAAAGTCTCCCCCCACCAGAACACACAATCAAACCTCGGAATACATGGAGCCTGCCAGATCCCAATCGTTTTTACCATTAGCGATAGCTACTGCCGGTACCAGTCAGAGTAGAAGAGAACTTGAATCTTCAGGGGAGGTGCTTTCAACGGCCCAGGGGACATCGCGGTCGACTTCTAATCCGGATGCTGCAACAACCATGTCTTTCCAGCAAAGTGTGCAAGAACCAATCCTTCCCAGCACACATGCATCGGGACGGATACAAGACAGCGACGAAACTTTGGATGACGTTGTGGGGAAATTTTGTTTCATCCAAGGACCTCGGGGCCAGCTACTATTAGGGGACGGTAGCTGGACCATTGAACGCATAGCTGCTACGGTGCCAAATGCAGCGTCCTTGACAGCGATGTTTGACAGTGAAGGAGCCTCCAATGGTACCGGAGCAAGGGAAGTCAGCCAGGCTAAAGAGGAGCAAACAGAAAAATGGACAGAAGCAGAAAATGGACAGAAAAGAGACAGAAAGGACAATAAATAGTTCAAAAGGCCCTCAGCTTGCCAGTGACTGCAGAGAAGTTTATACTTTTTTCATTTTTTAAAGAGTTGATAAAGATCCAATTACCTACCAGGTGAAAGGTTTGAGAAATGGTAATTTGAAATGTTTTCGATTTAGAGCATTCGATACCGGGGTCACCCATACTAGTAGCACAAAACCCAAATGGTCGGTGGCTTGACATACTCGCAGCAAGGCTATGCTTGCTCACGAAAAAGAACCTCAACGCTCGTATTGTGATGTTAGAATGATGTCATTGATGATGTGGCAATTCTTATCCTTAAGTAAATTTGAATCCAATGAGTCAAATGGGTTTGGGTCGACAGTTGAGGCTACCCAAACAGTGCCGATTTGCGTTGGAGCTTACTCAACCCAATCGCCCAAATCGCATTTGACTCACTGGACTCAGGTCGGCCGGCGATACTCGATGCCAACCATTTGGGTTTTGTACTATGGGTGACCCCGGTATTGAATGGTCTTACCTGGTTTTAAAAAATCAATTGTTGGCCTATTTCATACCTGTTTTAGTAGAAGTTATTACTAAATTCAGGCACTCTTGGCTAAAAATCGTATGAATTTCCCAAGGATCCTGTAGGTACTGCTGGCTGCTTGCAATTGCAAACACAGCCGGCTTAGATTCTTCAAACTGATGATGGACAGACAAACTGGCACTTGCGACATCTCAGACTTAAAGAATCAATGACCTGATCTTCGTGCACGTGATTTGTTTGATTTGCAACGTCCTTAAATCCGTGTGTCATCTTGAAGAGCTAGAGTGACTTACCGTAGTCTACTTTGGCTGCATCGGCTTTTATTGGTGGCGCTAGCAATTAAGGAGGTTGAAGGTTCCACGTTCCACGGAAGCTCAAGCGAGAAGCATTAGTTTCGCTTTTTTACCTTTTTGTAAGAACCAAATCTCTCCGTGCTCTCAGCAGTGTACTTGCCAGCTACAGCTGTAATTAATAGTACATGTACTGAACAATTTCATGACATTGGAATTTGCAAGCTTGGAAGAGACAACATTAAATTTATTTTCCCAATCAACAGCCTGAAAACGATGAAAAATCTTCAAAAAGATGAACATATCTTTTGCGGGATGGTGCAACAAGGAAGAGAGGAAGAGGAATAGTTTCTTCTCACTCTCCCATTCGACGGCAAGCTGGATGATTCAAGTCAATCTGAGGACCAGCTACCGGTACACTCGGGGGATATCGCTGACTAACTTGAGCTACTAGTAATAGTAAAGAGACTCCTCTATTCTCGGAGATCTGCTACCGGTAGCACAGCAAGTCAGAAAGAAAGAAGCTGAGAGTTAGAGTTTAGTGGAGCTTTAGTGGTTAGTAGATGCGCTGGCCTAGTGGGGACCGGATAGCTCGATTCGATTCGGTACTATTTTAAAATAGCTAGCTAGGCTACTAGTAGCTAGTGCTAGCTAGTACTAGTAGTAGGAAAGACAGACAGACCACCAACAATGAATTCTTATGAAGAAGGTTAGAGTGTTTAAATAGATTTCGACCTGTTCACCTGTTCTTGCCAGCGCAGATTGCAGACCTCACAGCATGCCTTAATAAAGCATTCATCCCTTCTCCAATTCGTGTCCACAATTCTGTCACAAATGTCGCAACGTAACAACGTAACACGTACATGTAACACATGCCGTTACTGTAAGCTGTAAGCTGGGTTGATAGTATAAACTCCATGTTGGCACATCAGAAAAGCTCATCATACATGTACGGCAGCAGCTTCACAGCACTACCAGTGCCAGGTACCAGAGTACATACTAGTAGTTCACACTTCACAGCGTAGCTCACTATGATAGCGCAGATTTCGAAGTGCTTTTGAATTCGAATGAATCTTTAGCCATTTCTGAGTCCATTTCCGTACAGTCAATCTTTGTACTCTACAGGCGGCAACCACGAGCTCCTAAGTTTTTGCATTTTACACCTTTAAAAGCACTTTCCTTTTAACGTTTCATGATGTTGTTCTCAGATCCAGCTGATTGTGTCAGTGTTTTTTCTACTTAAAGTTGAAGTCATATCTGTCGACTCGGCAGTACAAAGTGAAGCAAGCAGACAGTTTCGGGCGGCATCTCAGCCTCCACCAATTTATTTTTGCTTGGTCCGTTGGTCTGTGGTACTCCGTAGCACTACTAGTAGTGCTACGCCAGGGGCATGTTGGTGTTTTTTAGTTTTTATTCTTGGCATGTGGCATGCAGTATGCAGTGTGGCATCTCTACAATCTATTACGCTTGCACCAAACAGCGACATCGCCAGCTAGCTCCTACTAGTAGCACCAGCTACCATCCATTATCTTGTTGGCTGCGCTCTTCGCGGTCTGCGGAAGTTATGGCGGCAACTCCTTGGAGATGAAGGAGACTGGGTAAGGTTTTGTGGCTACCGGTACTAGAGCGTAGTGCGGCCACAATTTACAGCCTTTCCACCTCGCACCTCAACTGCAGCATGGAGGATAACGAGAACTCTCGGGGTGAGGAGGAGCAGCTCCAAGAAGAAGGATCACCCACGGGCTCCTCCGGGTCGTCAGATTCGTCTAGCCTCCGCAACATTGTTACGACTGGGATAGATCATCCAGGGAAACATGGTGAGTGACAGTCGAGTCGTTCGACGTGCAGTACCTTTAACTTTTTCTCATGCTATACTCACCTCGTCTTTGTCATTGATGCTACCCAATGCTTTACTGATGTCAGATGTTATGTTTGGTAAGGTCGTGGTTTTCATAATTTGGGATGTGCTCGTGCTTGCACAGGTTGTTGAAAGCGCTGGCTTCCAGTAGCCCGTAGCAGCACTCCTAAGCATGTATGCCATGTCAGGGCCCTTGTATGCGTCGTTAATCGTGTTCGTCTACTCACCTCTGGTTCGATGTTTCAGGCCGAGGCGGGGACACAAACTACCACATTGGAAACCACGGCTTTCGAACGATGGCGGACCAATACGTCGAAAGCTACCGTGAGGCATCGAGGAAGGACAAAGCCGTTATAGTGCAGCAGCTTGTTGACAGCTGGAGAGATCAGACCCCTCCCGGGCGCTTCCTGGCAAAGAGCGATCCGGGAAAGGGTGAGAATAGCCAATGGCATGATGTCGGCACTGAAATGGCGATCAAGAAGGCATCAAAGATCCTAACGGAAATAGCATCCACAACGGCCAAGGGGAGTAGGAAGCGCCAGGCAAGAGTTGATAGTGCTAGTAGCCCAGATATCGATGATTACTCGTCGAGACAACGCACCCAACAACAGCAGCCGCAACTAAAGTCACCGCCGCCAGAGCAGCAGTACACGTATCAACAAGTTGCCTCTCACCAACCTTACCCTCCGGTGGCATCCTTGCCGCGGGCTCAGCTTCCTGCGGCTTCATTGCCACAGGCTCAGTTCCAGATGCCGCCTCCCATGGCTGGATTTCCAATGGGAGGTAGCGGTCCATTATCAGTCGATCCGCAGATGCCTGCGGGTGCGTACATGGGCAGAGTGACACGGCCTAGGGCCTACGCTACCCAACAGCAGATTCCCATGCCCCAACAGCAAGTGGCCTCGCACCACCCCCTACAACCACCCCAACTGCCATCCCAACTGCCGTGGCAGCCCACTGCAACTCCACTGCCTCATATAGGTACGGGCTTGCACCTTGGTGGCGTTCCGGATGCTCCTTCACCTGAAGCCGGAGATTCCCCAGACCGTCGAGGCAACTTGAAAGAGGATGATAGCCCTCCCGCCGAAGCCAAGTCCGAGTTGCAAGGCAGCGATGAAAGCCCACCGATTGACGCGGCAGCGGCGGCGGTCGCGCCAACTGCAGCATCGCTGTCTGGTGTCTTCAACAGTAGCTCTGGCAGCGAGGAGAAGCAGAATGGTGACAGCTCTAGTAGCAGTGAGAGGCACGTCGGGAATGGTTCCTCCCCGGACTCCAAAATATTATGAGGGTTTCGTCGTTGTTGTCGCGGTTTGCCAGCTGAAAACACAGAAACCCACCAAGTGCCACCCTCATGATCATGTATTTAGATGAAAAAATGAAAACCAAATAGCCTGTTGATACGCTAAGAGCCCAAAAAGGCAATCTGTTCACATAAACCTATTGAATCGAATGCATCACTCATTTGCTTCCTACTAGCTAGTACTTGATTTAAGCATTCTTCTGTTGGAATGCTGCTTCTACTAACTAATCTGCATTCACACAACAACATGTCCTATTGGTTAACAATGGTATTCAATCTACATCATCTATACTTGTATGCATACTAGTACTGTTTATACGATGACTAACTACCTGCAGAGCCACCTCTTGACCACGTCCAGTAGTCGTTGTGGAGTTTCTGAAAGAACCTCATTGTTTCGTTGTTCCAACAGTTGAGCGGCATCGTCGTCGGGCGGCTCGGCATAAGCATCGTCATCAATAAGGGCATCATCTGACGATGAAGAACTATTGGTATTGACAAAGTCATGCACAAATGTCTTCGGGCTGTCCACAAACCATTCATGCAGGAACGTAGCGTACCTATCAATAGCATGGGATAGCAAAGCACCTGGAACCCAAAGGTACGGCGTAGCAGACCAGGACGCTGGCACTCCCGAATAGTTCATTGATGCATCACCAATATGATGGTAGAACGCGAATGCTTGTTTTGTCTTGTTGGCGTCGCGATCGTGATTTCCGTACGGAGGCAACCATCGCTTGGGGATGCAATAGGGTGTCTTGTCGTTACATTCCGGACTATTCATTTGAACCGTGTGTCCAATATGCTCAAAGAACTGCGGCAGCCGTGGGACCAAGTCCCAACCAAGGACAACACGCCAAATGACAAGATACGGACTGTTTTGGGTAGAATTGGGATGCGTCAAGAAGTTTGAGTTGATAAAGTCTCTAAACTCAACGTTGCCCACTTGAGGAGAGCCAAAATTGAGACTGGTGACTGGATACTTGAGGCCAATATGTTTCTTTTGAAACTCCACTGCCAGTCCCAGCGCTGTCATGATGCTGTTGGCTCCTCCAAGCGAATGGCCGGTAGTGAAGAGACGACTGAATTTTGGGCGAAGCTTTTCTACCCGAATGTAAATGTCATCAAAGATGTGATTGGCAAAGACGGCATTGTTGAAGCCTTCGTGGACCCTGCAGTCCGCACAGTCCAGAGAGACGGGGACGCGCGAAGCATTTGTTTTGTCCTTGTTGTACAAGTCGTCTGTTCCGAATCGAATTTTCCGGACATCCACATCGAGTAAGGCTGTAAACAAGTCGTCCGTACCGGCAAATACCACAGCCAAGTAATCCTTGGCCTTCGACGACACAATCATCACTTGAGTTCCCAAGTGTTTATCGTGACGATACCAGTGACATGTCACTCCTTTCTCGTGTGTGATGGTTGTGGCCGTTTCGTTGTTCCAGTGCTCACACACATCATCATAGTTGTAATGCTTGTACTTGTACACGGCATGAGACAGATTTGCCATTTCTCCTACATCCAAAAGATGAGGAAACACATCAAATGATTGTCGTCTTGCTGAAATAGCTGATTGTTGTGGATGTTCGTGAAGGTTTCCATGGCGCAGCGTGGGAAGTGCGTTGCTTCCAACAGCAAAGCTGAGGAGAACAATCACTAAGCGACTCTTCCTGCTAGTAGTCAAGGGCATTGTGATCGTCTTCTTCTTCTTCTTTGGCGGCTACTTGGTGCAATAATGGACTCGAGGGTTGTGTCTACCCCCTCTGAAGTTGTTGATGACTATGGTTTTGGTTCCTTCTTCCCACGCCGAGTTTGCTTCCGTTCTCCCCAAAAATAGAAGAGCCGAACAAACACATCACAACGTCAGCAAACTAATCCTTAACTCTAATTTAAGCTAGCAAGGATGTATAAGCAAGAAGGATTAACAGAGGAAATAGAGGCGTGACATCTCAGGTGGGAAGCTTCGACAAATATTCCGTTGTTTAGCAATTCTCAGCTCCACAAAAACGTTGAAGGCTTGGCTCGTGCTGGTTGGGACTAGTAACAGTCTCACTCTTCTATTGCTACCATGCGGACGAGAGGGGGAATTATGCTGGCCCGTGTTTCCTTTAGCTGGCCATAGGCGTGATTTGAAGCGCTCTGGGAGTATACATGAAAAGGTACCAGTCTGACCTTCACGAACGATACGTACGAACTGTCGGATACTGTAGCTAGCCAGCTTTGTATTCGTTGCTTGAAACATGGGCGGCCGATGTTGTCATAAAACGTTGCTCTCCTTCAAAAAGCAAGACCAATCTCAATGATGCTTCGAAAAGTCCTTTTTGCATGCCTCTCGTTGCCAATGACGATCATTCCAGCGAGAGCAGGACCAATGCTTCGCGCCAATGACGAAACCACCAGACATCTGCAAAACACGCAGTTCGAAGATATCGACATTACCGAAGTTTCCCTCTGTGGATGTGACAGTTGCTATGACAAAGGTTTCAGTGGTTACATTGAAACCAGAACAGGCAGGATATCTTGCGCCCAACGCATCATGCAGCTGATTGCCAACGAGAACACACCAGAGGAAGAAGCCTGCCGTCAAGTTGCAAAGGTGGATCACAGTGACGAGTGTGGCTCTGTCTGTGATATTGATATGTGTGATGGTCGAGGTACCATGCATGCAAAGGAGAAGGATCCGCCTCCTCCAAAGGCCTTTTGTGGCTGCAAAGGCTGCAATCAAGATGTATGGTTGGCCATGGCTGGCGAGTTTTCTTGTGGTGCACGAGTCACCTGGTTAACCGGAAGAGGCCAAACATCTGCCGAAGCTTGCCGCACAGTGGCAGGTGATGAGTTTTCGGATATCTGTGGTGCCTGCAACCCAGATACTTGCGAACAATCGGCTCAAGGTCATGAACTACCAGAAGACGCAGGATCACAATCGTTGGAATTTCAGGAACCAACCGAGCTAGAGGACATTCCCTTGACGCCTGATTACTCTTTGTACTGCTTCCCTCCGTACAATGACAGGGTGAGGTATGAAAACGTCTGGGGAAAGTACACCTTGGAGGTAAAGGAAAGTGAGCATCCCTGTGGTCCTTCAGACAACATGTTTTCTACGAGGACTGTCCACCTGGATGATGATGAATTGACCCTCCAATTTCGAAAGGTGGGAGACAGATGGGAGGGAAGTGAGGTTAGGGTGCTGCTGCCATGGGAAGAAATGCCCTTCGTCTATGGAGACTATTCCTTCTCAGTGAAAAACGTCAAGGTGATAGACACTGCCACAGGCAATGTGGTGGATACAGTTCTACCACTCACAATGATCCTGGGCCTGTTCACATGGGATGCAACGGAAAGTTATGCCATTCATGTAAGTGATTGCTTGCCTCTTGGGAATCTTGTGTGCTGTTGTTTCGGAATGTTTGGTATCTTACACTGCCTCTGTGCCTAACAGGAAAACTACAACCATGAGGTTGACATTGAAATCTCAAGATGGAACATAGAGGTACGCTCAGCTCAGAACACGTGTTGCATCCGTTCACCGGTAGCAGATGCTAAACCGTCATTCTCACGATCCTCGCTACAAATTCCCAGGGTCTTGCTGATGTTCAATACCTTGTTCAGCCTCCCGGAGACCCTCACAAAGTAAGCCAAGTGCCGACGAGCAGAGTGCATTGGCCGATGGAAGAGTGATTCACTCACCGTTTTCGATCGATTCAGTACCGTTTCTTCTCAGGAGAAGGGGACACCTACCAGCAGGCACCAAATACATACAAGTTTGATTGGAGGCCGGCTGAAATTGAATGGACTTCCAGTGCTGGAGGTGGTGGACATCAATTCACGTACGATGCCCAGATGGCATTGGACGCTTCTGCCCCCTTTTACGTCCAATGCATGCCAGCTGATGTAGAGGTTCGACTTAATCTTTGGAACTTGTTTGGAAACTCGGCTCCAACTGGGATGCAAGATACACATCAAGTTGAAGTTGTAATTGACAACTTTGAGTTTACCCCATCTGGGTTGACCGGGTTGGCAGAGGGTGGCACTTGCACTCGCGATTGCCACTGCGAAGCGACTGCTGTGTGCCGCAGCAACAAGTGCTTCTCCCCTGACCCGTCCATGGTCGCGCAACCTCAATCGGAGGACGCCATTTCCACTCTTCCTCCGACCACAGGTTCGGCTTCAGTCGCCTCTGGGGCTTCAGAGACAAATACTCCTCCCGCCGATCTTTCGGCGCCAGAGACTTCAGAGACCAATGTAGTCACCAACAATCCTTCTATACCAGAGAGTCTTGACATGCCGGAAACAAACATCACCAAAGCCACAGGCACAGAGGATGCGACTAGGCAAAGCGGCAAGAGCAAAGCCGGAAAACCGATATTGATTGTCTTCTTTCTAGCTTTGGCTGCTGCTCTGGCAGCATTTTTCTATATGCGAAGAAAACGAAGCGAGACAAACCGACGAGGTATCATCTTCGGCAGCGATGACTCGTCACGCAAGGTTAGAGTTGTCGAGTGCTATGAAAATGATACCACGGTTGCTTCATCCTCCTCATTCGAAGTGGCGATCCCAAAGAAACCCCTTAGGTTTCAACATGAATAAGAGGGTAATGCAGTAAGCTTCTTTAGTTTCATGTTTACATTATCATCACTCTGGCCAGCCAGAGGCAACACTGTTTGGAAGATGGATTGAATGATCATCCATTCATTCCAAAAGCCAATCTTCCCGTCGATGTTATGGTGCGGGAGTTGAGCTTGCGCTCTAAGTGTCTTGTGAACACGACTGAACACTTTGTGCGTTCACACTTCCCGAAGCGCGTCCTTGGATGTGCCGTCTTTTGGCCTTTGGTGTACCGGTATCTTTCGGCGGCAACCCAATCTTACCGTGTTGTCTCTGTCCCATTGACCATACCGATTCATGCTACCCAGATAAGACAACCTTGGCGAAGCATCAAACCACGAAGTTTCAAACTTCATAAAATGGAAGTCCATCCATACCTGAGCAACTAGCTAGTGACTATGTCGTCTTTCAGATCTCTTGCATTCATCCTTGTTTGCAGCTTTTCCCCTGCAGTTGTGTACTCCAAGAATTCGGCGTCGGCCTCAAGCTCGTATAGCTCCAGCCTCGATGCCAGAGAGCCTGTCGTATGTGGATGCCATGAATGCACTGAAGCTATTGTTGATCGCCAGGCGGGGGAGCACTCTTGTGCGGAAAGAATCCAGTTCCTGGTGGACGAATACCAATTACCCGAGGAGGAGGCCTGCATTAGGGTTGCTCGAACTGAGTTTCGAGACATTTGTGGCCCTGAATGCGACCCTGGTCGGTGGTGAGAGTTTATGTTGACGTTGTATGGAACTACTAGTGTCGACCAAGCCCCGTCTCATTCCAAAGTCCACGTTTCTCTTTCTACAGTGATGGAAACAAACTACCCCCTCATGAGATGCCTTCTACCTACTGTGGTTGCAAACACTGCACTCACGAAGTCTGGAATCGCATCACCACACAGCATCACACCTGTGGAGCCAGGATTTCATATTTGGCGGATTTCAACGGCCTCCCAACGAGAGAGGCTTGCAACATTGTTGGTGGGCATGAATTCCCTCACGAGGACGATTGTGGCCTCTGCGATCCAGATCGCTGTGAGCCTGTGCTCGGCACTGGCGAATATAGATGCGGATGCTCTCGTTGCACCAACGCCATCTGGGATTTGGAGCTCGACCATGATGGTGCAACTTGCGGAGAACGCATCGAATTTCTTCAAGATGTGGAAGGCCAAACTGAAGTTCGCGCTTGCCGCCAGGTCACTGGGATCGAGTATCCGCAGCTCTGCGGAAGCAACTGCAATCCGGATGTACGTAACTTGGCTACGATGCCTCACAAACCAAACAGATGCAACCAGCTCAAATTGTTTTCAGCTGTGTGATTCTCCCCTCGCAGCTCGGACTCCTTTATACTGCTTCCCCGACTTTGACGAACGCGAGCGCTATCGTAACTTCTGGGGAAATTTCACAGTAGAAGTAAAAGAGTCCAAGGTAGAAGAACGGGGAATTTGCGGGCCGCATGACAACAAGTTTACGGCAAGCACAGTATCTCGAGTGGGCCCAAACAGGCTGAAGTTGCAATTCAAGAAGTCCGCAGGCCAGTCCTGGATTGGCAGTGAGGTGAGGGTCCGTCTCCCAAACGCGGACATGCCATTTCGGTACGGTTCATTCTCTTTCAGTGTCGAAAGCGTTCAAGTTGTGAACGTGCATTCGGGAGAAGTTGAGAGCGACAACCTCCCACCTTCCCTCGTTCTCTCAATGCACACGTGGGACGCCACTGAGAACTTTGCAACCCATGAGAACCAAAACCATCAGGCGAGTGGATCCATCGTGATCATTTATTTGTCCCATTGCCCGGAGAGCCCTGTCATGGTGTCTAACTCTCTGCTCCTCTCTATTGATGAACATAGGTTGGGGTTGACATTTCCCGTTTTGACGACGCTGCCGGAGAAGATGCTCAGTTTGCTGCCCAACCCGAAATAGTACACCGATTCTTTACTGGACGGCACAACAACTACAAGCAAGCGCCAAGGATTCACGGATTTCACTGGCGCCCGGCAGAGATTGAGTTCTTTTCCAAGAATGATCAAGGCCGATCAACAAGCTTCACGTACAGTACCGAGGAAGCCCTCGAAGCGGGTTACATTGACTTCACCCAATGTCTGCCAGCAGATGTGGAACTTCGTATTGGCCTCTGGCATATCTATGGAAGCAACCCGCCACCAGGTCTGGCCGACAACCACATAGTTGAAGTCGTAATTGACGAGGTTTCCTACACCCCCTCGGGTTTGGAGTTTGTCGAAGAAGGCCGCTTCTGTTCCAAGGATTGTCACTGTAGTCCGCACCATAAATGCTTTGGTGGGCGTTGCACTCGAGTGGCATCTCACTATGATGCAGTGATTGCAAGCCAACTCAACCCCAAGCTCGAGCAACCCCAGAAGGCCTCCGTAAGGACGATTATGGGACTCACAGTCTTCAGTTGCTCTGTTGGGGCTTTGGCATTAATAGTGTGGTACCAGGGAATGCGGTCGGAGAAGAAAAACGAGGGCCCTGCGGAGTTTTCAATTTCGCATGGAGCAGTCAAGGGATGATCCACTGAATGTCCAACCGTTGCTACTAGTTGTGTATTGTTGTTTAGCAGTAATCAAGGGCTGATCCTGAACCCAAACTTGACCCAAATGGCAGTTTGCATGCACCCATCATGCTGTGAAATGACTATGTTCCTTACTATTAAAGAAAGATAGAAGACATCGATCGCCTTTGTATCGAAATCATAATATAGACAATTCCCCCGAGCCCGAGCCCGCGCGATGATTGGTCGTCTGTTGGAGCTCCAAGCTGTCAGGCTGTCACTGTCACGGACGAGTTTGTATAAGTCCAGGCTACGACAGCATTGGAACTTCCCTCGACTTGGATGGAAATGGCCATTGGGGAGTCATGGAACGGACACCGTCATTGGTGCATCATCCAGTTTCCATGGGTTTCGTCAGTCCACATCATGCGATCGATACAACCAGGCATCCTGAACAGGCGCAACGGAACCGATTCACCACCTCCGTAGAATCGCCAACCCATTAGCTTTGCTTTCCCTTGTGTCCCCTGAGCGGTTGATCATTAATTTTCTACAGTTGTCTCGTCGCCTTTTTCCTTTCTTTCGAGGTTTCGGAACGAAACTTTGACCGAAAAATATCCATGACTGAGGGTCGGCTTCATTTCCTTTTCAGCTTACGGTCACCTGTTTAGGCTGAACCTCGCCGCACTTCCACCAAATTTTTGTCCCTGTGAGATTATTTAGGTTGGTTGTGAGGGTGCTCACCAAAAATATTGTGAGTGGTCTTGGCCAGGTGCACCGAATATTCAAGCTCTTGTTGCCAATATTATGCCTTCTCCGACATTGATTGTACCTCCAATGCTGATAGGTTGGCCTTTCTGCGTCGACGGAAGACAACGGGGTGGACTTCCCTTTCGTCATCTCCACCTTGAGAATAGCTCACAATCGCAAGCGCAACCAAGAACGCGGCTACAGCTGAATACCATGACAGCCGTGACAACAACTTCCTCCAAGATGAAAGCAGCGGGTCTCGCGATGCTGTGCCTCTTCCAATCGTCCGCCATGGCATCCACACTTGAGGGCAGCGTCGTTGTACCAATGGGCCAATACATGAATCCAATCGAAGTTGAATTCTATTCACTTCCTGACAGTGTCGACTTTGTGACAATTCAGAGTCATGGACTTCCCAGAGAAGATGGCGGATACTTCAAAGTGAGCGGGCCAGTGGATTGCATCAATTTCGTTTCCACAGACAAAATTATCATCTCTGGCCAGGTACTTGGGACGGCCATGCATCAGTCTCTAAGCTTCTTTGGGGTTGGAGAGAAACTCCTGCTGGCAATGGAGAGCACTGGAACTGGATCGTTGAGGAAAGTCAGCACCATTTCAAGGATTGATGCATCTCAGGATTGCTTTGATCATGAATGGACGGAGTTTACCGTTTTGTCGGCCTTGGCGGGTGAAGTCCACATCTTGGACTAGCTAGCTAGGCAGCAGGGATCTCGGTCGGGATTTGCTTGCTTGACATAGCGATGAAAGAAAAAAAAACTGGGTGCTGGTCATGCTTATAATGCGGGGATTCGCTCCTTGATGCGGGGAACAAAGCAAGCACATCAAGGACGCGAATTGTACTTGGCAACAGCAGCAGCACCACGTTACTTAGTGTTCCCCTTTTCTTCCTACATAATATTATTGTTGCATGTTACCGTAGCATGCGTACTCTGAGTAGGTGTTTGTCTACATGCGCTTGGCCTCAATCACCCTACCGCACGCGTAAAACGCCTTTCTCACTACTTTGTACATGTAAAAGGTTCCAATAGCTGAGTACGTGCTACCTAGCTACCCGTACCAGCCAGAGCTGGCCATGGGTCGTAAGTAAAACCGTACCGGTTCCGGTGTGTTGCCATAGATGTCTCACCGAACACAACTGGCACCGGTACCGTACCGCTTTGCTTGTGCTCATTCCTGGGTGCGCTCAAACTCCTCGTTTTCCTTACGGCACCGGCGCTGATCGTTGGCGCACCTTGACCATGGCTGATGTCATTGCTCTGTGTTTTGAACCCACGCAACAAACAAACTCACTTCTGCAAATGCAAATTAATGCGAAAGATCAAGGCGGCAACCTTGCCAATACCAAGCTGAGTGGTCCAATACTGCATCTTTCCTAACAACTCTGCAGCTAGCTAGCTTAACTATAATACCTCTATGTACATGGCGTTACTCTACACGATGCAGTCAATGTGGCGCGCCCTGTCGGCCACAACTGGCTTACATCCGGGATCGACCAAAAGCGCCTTGATGCGACACATGGATGCCTTGGACAATCTCGTGCACGGGTCTTCCCTCAAAGGCAATTTCGTATATTGTTGAAATCAGAGGGAATGCTTCCAGCATGCCACTAGAATTCAAAAGAACATAAACTTCTTTGGCGGTCAATGTCCCTTGAAGTTTCTGGCCATTCAATAGCTCTGACTCAATGTCTTGCCAGATGCTTTCCAGTGACTTGTTGCTGTTGTCGGCAATGCCTCCTTTCCGTTGCTGTATCCTTCTAGCAAAGGCTTCGGCGCATTTGCGATTGCGTCCGCCATAGCAGGTTGTGATCAAATCTGCCATTCCACAGCTTTGAAGGAATGTGTCATTCTTGACATTTTCACCAAAGAAAAAGTGACAGAATTTGGACATTTCCAACAGTCCTATTCGCAGCAAAGCTGCCTTGGTGTTCCCACCAAGCCCTAGACCATCTACAAACCCTGCTCCCAGAGCAATTACATTTTTGAGGGCACCGCAGGCTTCGGCACCAGCCACATCTGCAATTTGTTGTACTCTAAAGTTTGGTGGGCGATCAAAAACTCTACGAGTTCTTTCATCCAATGGAGCTCCAAAAGTGCAGGCCAGAGTTGACTCGCACATTTGGCCCTTGGCAACTTCGGAAGCCACATTGGCTCCCATCAAGACACCACATTGAAAATTTTGGCCCATAGACTTTTCAATTGCCTTGGATATCAGCACTGGACGCTTTGTCGTGTCATCAAAATCTAACGGTGACGAAGCAAGCGAATCAGAAATATTTATTTTTGGTCCAATTGAGGAGAAATCAGCCGTTGTGAGAAGGTGACGAAGAACAGCACCCACCAAAAACCGACTGAGTACTCAACTCCAAACTCCACTCACCAAGACCCTTGATGAGACTTACGCCTCGACAATTGCTGTGTGCATGTTTTCGAATGACTGGTAACAATTTGGGCAAGAACTGATGCGGAAGGACAAAAATCAACAGCGTAGCATCTTTGCAGGCAGTGGCCAAATCCGGAACAGCCACCACATTGGATGGTATTTTGATTCCGGGTAAATACTTGACATTTTCATGCCGACTATTAATGACATCCGAGAGTTTTTGTTCGTTGCCATCGAGCGGAACAAGCTCTTCAAAGACCCACATGTTCACTTGCTTCGCGCACGATTCATTGTTGTCGCAGTTCCGCCCCACCAGACAGGCAATGGCACTGCCCCAATTGCCACTTCCCACAATGCACACTTTGTCCTTTTTTGGCGGCTGTTGCATGTCCGTCATGATGGGTTGACTCGTGCTGCTGCTGCTGCTGCTGCTGCTGCTTGTTGAAGCATCCAGATGTCTTGCCTGTTGTGGATGGATGTTGCTGTAGATCAGAAGAAGGACAAAAACAAAGAGCCTGTGGGACCTGGGCGTGACCATCAACGAGACGACCTTTGGTCATCCAAGATCGTGGCGAAACAGGCAACAGGCAACAGTTGGTTAGTGCACGTTGCACAAGGATGGTGGGCTGTGGGCTGTCTGTCGACTGTTCACTGTCCACTCCTCACACCACGTTGCCGTTCCACCAGATGCATCTCTCTTCCGGCAGCTTTGGGCAGTTTCTTCGTCGAGGACCAGCGCCAAAAGACGCTCAAGAATCGAAAAAGGCTGATGGTGGTGTTGATAAAGAGGTTGCTATAGTGTTGTGTGTTACTACTTGGTTGTTGTGGTTGATTTCTAGTAATCTGGTAACTGGATAGTCATAAATCGCTACCACAGGTCATTTTCGGTCCCCTCAAGCTAGAGGGGGATGTATCCTATCTCGCTCTAGATTGCACTTGACATGGGAAAACAGACTTTTGAGTCTGAAACAGGATGTACCTTGGGGCAAGGCCCCTTGGAGGCTCAGACCTGCCGTTCACCAAACGGCCCACCCTTATGGTCATGTTGCCTTTTTGCAGATTGTTAGTATAGACTTTCGAAACCAGTCGTGTCTCACAGGCCCGTTCTTGATCTTCGTCAACATATCGGCCAAATTGTCTCTGTGTTCTCATAAGTGATGTTGCCATTCCTGCAGCGACTCTTTCACGGACATGTGGTATGCGACCGAGTTGCTCTTTTTCTTCAAGTAGACTCCGGGATGCTCGAGTCTTGATCACGGACATGTTGTCCGCCTTGACATGAGCCGGGCCATCAAGGGGAACTCCCATCATCCTGAGCTTGTACCGCAAGCCTCCACGATCTCGATTCCACCTTCATCGCCGCGAACTCAGATCCAAAGGAGGAGTTTCAATGGAGCCCTGTTCTTGCTGTACCAAATAATGGAGACATGTTAGCAAAACGAGTAAACCAGTACGCAACGACGTGCACCTTGTCCCCAGCATGTCAGAATCCACAAACATGTTGATTTGGATTGGTTTGCGAGAGGCTTCGGCATGTCCGGAGGCAAAAGCTCTTTCCATCGGCATAGAAATCACCCAGTCAGGTCGCTCTGGTCCACATGATTCACATAGAAGGATCAAAAACAAGGTGAGAACGACTGTGCTGCTTGAGATATGCCAAGATATGAAACACAGCGTCCAGGTGCCCAACTCGTGGGGCTGCACAGTACGAAGCCATGATTGAAACCTCGGTGCAGATGTCAATTTCCCGAGTTCCACGGCCCATCGTACACTCCAATCTGCTGTTGAAAGTAATTTGTCCACTCGTCATCACAGAGGTTTGAAACATCCAACTCCGGGGTGTAATTGCTCGGTAACACTGAAGTTGCTTTTGACTTGAGCGTCTTCCCACGTGCTCGAGCCATGTCTCCACATTTCTGACAGCTCCTTGACATACTGTTCAGATCCCATTGACCAACATGGTTTGTCAACAGCCAGGGAGATTGTACTCTTGACTGAAGCTCCAAGAACTGAGTTGGCTTTCCCAGGGATCCTTGCTTCAGCAGGAAACTGCTGATCCAGGTAGCAGAGTAAGGTATTTGGTTAGTTGACAGGCAAAGGAGACGTCTGTGTATACCAAGATAACTCATAGTATTCCCTTCCATCAGGACCTGGTGGCGGCACAAACCAGAATCACTTGTCTGCCTTACAAGAGGTGAACCCCAGGTTGTCTCTGCAGACATCAGCTAAGTTGGCCTCCATGCTGCTCCACTTGATTTGAGGCCATACAGGCCTTGACGACCTTTGCTTTGCGTCCCTAAATCGGCCAAATTCCTTACCGATGTGATAAAGATCTTCTCTCGAACTGGGCATTCAAATATGCGTTGACCAATATCAGCGAGCCAATATGTCCAGATCGTTCAGGGCTGCAATAAGAAGGCCAGCGTACACTCTCTCACTGACAACGCTGGCGTAGTGATGGAACGAAGGTGGATAGGTCATATGCCCCCCAGCAACAGACGTGCCTTCCTTTAAAGTCGCTTTTAACATCAAAGACCATGTGACAACGAATGTGAGTGTGTCCTACTGGGTCGGGGCATCCTCCTCCAAGATCTCAAAAGCTTCGCCGACGGCTGCCATCTCTTTCTTAATGGCATCATGCACAAAAGGTTGTACCAGTCTCACTTGTCAAATCTCAAGGGCTGCTCCAGCCGTTTTGGGAAGCTCAACCCCATATTTCTGTTCCTTGCGAAAGTAACGCTTCGCAAACAGCAGGGATAATCCGATTCGCTTTTGAGGGTGTAAGGGACCCACCAAAAGAAAGCTGGCTCTGACTCCAATCCATTGTTCTGTGCATACTCTGCCGTCTGAATCAGGTACCATCTTTCATGTCCTTAAGGGTACTGCCATGAGGTGGTCCCATCTTCCACTGGCACAAAAGTTTCCACCCTTTGTTGGTCCGTCGCAAAGTCTTCCTGCCATTCCGATAGATGTAGGAGTCGTCCCTGAAACAGTGTGTCCATCCTTCGCATGTTCCAAGATATCCGCCAATCCAAACAAAGTGTAGCCGTCCTCATCCACCTGAGCATAGATAGACTCTGCAATGATGTTGGCGGAGTAGGCCTCGGTCTCGACGCTGTCAAACTCCACCTCATAAAGGGAAGTATCAAGCAATGGGTAAGAATTCGAAAGGCCAATCAGTTTTCCATCTGAGTTTCTCTTGCGCTTGGTGACTGTACCATAAGACATTTGGTCTACCTGTGGGACACAAACACTAGTTGCAATGTACTTATCGAAGGACTCATGTTGCATCTCATCTGCTTCTGACAACTCTGGGAGAGGAGCTGGGTCACGATCATCAATTGGCTAATAATACTCTGGTATCTCTTCGTCCTGACGAGATTCAGCACCATCACTGCTGGCCAAAAAATAACGCTTGCCAAGGGACATCTTCAAGGATTCTGTGAATGCTGTCTTCTTGGACTCAATCACCGGGCTCAGCACTCCTGGCCCGATAAGGGGATAACAGATGTCCTAGAGACAAACTGGCCCTTCTCGGTGAAGATTCGGGCACACATAGCATCCCCAATGTCAGTGCTGCGGCCACAGTAGCGACCAAGGCGCTTCCTTTCCATTGACTCGCCCTGTCTCTCAGGGGAAAGGTACCAAACCCAATCATAACATCCAAACTCACAAATATGCTAGATGTCAGCAGTGTCCCCTGTCAGAAGAGTAGCGGGAACTTGAACATCCAACTCTCGGATCGGCAATGCGGTATGACTGCGATTCAGCCCGCAGAAGACGAAACACATGTACCAAAGGCATTCCAAGCTGTCAGTAGTCGTCATCGTTCTTCTGTAAGTTCTCCTCAGCTCTCGGATTAGGTCCTCCGCGAAGTTCTGGTTGGGTGTGTAAGCCTCAACGGGATGGATAGGGCACTGGACTCGTTGTGCCTTTCGTCGAAACTCTCCCATAGTAAGCTCCTTCGCGTTGTCTGGAATCAGAACTCTTGGTATTACAATCTTCTGGAAAAGTGAATCTAAGGGCAAGTGAGCCTCCGACTTGGTCTTCAACGGGTCAACATGGCACCAATTAAACGGTGTGCAGTAGACATGGGCACACTTGTTTCCCAGAAGGGAAGTGACCTTGCCGTAAACAGTGTCGGAATACATTTCAACGTTGAGCCGAGGATATCTGAGCTGATACGCCAATGGCTTCATCCTCCGTACTCCACTCGCGTGGGTGAAATCACGAAACGCTCGCTGAGTTGTATTCGCGATGGTTTTCTTGGCTGCTTCAAACCCAATATTCCACCGCTTGGCAAGTGCTTCCGCTGACACGGCGCCCTTCCTGGTAGGGGGTTTCGTCTTTGTAGCAGAGATCTGGGCTGGAAGGGCTGGCCCAAGACTGTTTACGTCAATTGCAACGGATGATCTTGATTCTAGAATTGACCTGATCGACTTAATTCTCCTATTCCGTCCCCCTTCACGTGGCATGTCCGAATCCCAAGCGGCTCTGAGAGAGGACTCGAGGTCAGCCGACTGGGGATCTTGAAGGTTCCAAGGAGATTCGGAGGTCATGTGAACGTGAACGAAGTGATATGGAGAATTGACTTCATGGGCGGTTGGCTTCCGGACTTGGAAGTATGAGATAACACCGTCCCGTTGGAGTGGGATTCGTAAGTCACCAACAAATGATGGAGTGGGATTCATTGGTCCTGTACTTCAAACGGTAGGTGTCAAACAGTGGCACATCGTTGACAACTAACTGTTGATGTCGCAGCTGATGCTGGACAAATGAGAATTGTTCTGTAATGACTGATTAAGCAAAGATGATGAAAGAATAAAATATAAAATTTTAGATGTGAGTGGGTCGTCATAAGACCACATCCACAGTTACAATTGGTATTCGTGTATGTTCCAAGATCAGTTGAAAACCCTTCGAAGGATATAGTCTCTCCCGTGTCATGTACCACGTAAGCACTTTCTCCAAAGGAACATGTATCGGCATGGCTGCAAGCTCAATCCGAGATGATGGAAAATAAGTAGCAACGGATCGCAGAGTGTCGAACAGCAGAGCACTCATGCTCGCCGATTCATGCGCTTGCCCAACGCTAGATCCACCAGGAAAATCAGTCACGGGATCGCTTCTCGGCTTCAATTCCGAGGACTTGGGAATGGGTATCTGACAACTGTATCTGCAGCTCGGCAATCTTCCGATTGTCACCATCGCGGTGTCCTAGCCTGTTTGCTGCTGCGCACGATGTGACTGAGCCCACATCATCGGGATGGTAATAACTTCCTGGGTTATTGGGGACAAAACCCCGGCCTTCATGGCCTCTAACACGGCCTCGTCACCCTGCCTCGGCCTCTTCCAGGGCCTCGGCCTTGGGATCTACCACCGCCACGTCCTCGTCCTCTTCCACCACCGCCTCGACCACGGCCCGACACAGATGAAATATTTCTTGTGGTCGAGTGGGTTCAGCTACATCAAGTTGCTCGGCTAAGTAATTCAATAGCCTCCTGGAAACTCTCGCGTAGATGCGGAGTTGCTTGAATGACGGACTTGGCGGTCTTGAGGTTTTGGGTCTGTAATGCCGGACAAGAAGCTTGCGAATCTTGCGGCTCTCAGTAAAAGTTTCACCAGCGGTTTCCAGATCGGTGAAGGCCTTGGTAAGCCCTTCACAGTAGCGCCAAGTGAAGTTGCGGGACCTCCCATCAAAGAAAGTAGTTTCAATGGCTCTATCCGGAATGCCTTGGTACGAGCTGGAAACGAATCACCAAGATAGTGAACTTCATGGCCAAGTAAGCTGCTCGACCGTTCTGTTGCGCTGCACAAACGTTGGACCCATGTCCAACCAAGTCCACCGTGAGTAACCGACGAATGATGGCCCAAACAGCCTGATTGTCTTGTACGAAATGGGTCCGGCATGTCTTGTTTTCGGACCAATTCTTCAGGATGCGATTGGAAGGCCAAAACCTGGGTAGCCTCATCTGCGGTGTCAGTATCAAGTGCTCCTGGCAAAGTGACTTTGGATCTCGTAAATAAGTCAGAGGGGCACCGCAAACCCTCGCTTGACATTCAGACATTGTCAATAGACTCCAGCACTCGTCGGACATCTTCGACCTTCAAGAGTTGGGGGGATCCGCAACATCAATCTCTTCTCGTTCGGACTCGTATAAAGCCCAAACTCTAATCAATCTCGCCAAACTGGCTTGGTTGGGATTGAACTCACGCTGGATTCGTTCATGTGAAATTGTAGAACCTAGTTGTCTGAGTCGCTTCTCAAAGACAAATCCAGCTGTCGTCCACGGTTGGAACTTCTCTGGGCTGAACCTGCGGCAGCTTCGGCAGTGCTGCAGCCGCAATGGCTGGATTGGGAATGTACCCTTGGTTTCCTCACGTTCTCGCAGATGCTCTGATATCAGCATCGGTAAAGTATCGAGTGAGACGAAGGATCCAATCCTTGTCATTCAATGCTCCTCGTGGCTAATCGAATACGATGGTATTCTGTAGATAGTTGTTCATGGCGCAAGATTGCCTGCCATATCGCCTCCAATTACTTCTTCTCTTGCGTATCACTTGGATGAGCAACAGTTGTTGGGTCTTCTTCTCTGCTCCTATTCCAACAGCAAATGTACACACCCAGACAAGTAAGGCTTATTCCACGGAATGAGCTTGCACACCCAGTCTGTGGAGTCTAGGCCAAAACTCTTGATCAGGCGTCCCTCTCCTTTGGCTCAATCGTTTCTTTGGTGACAATGAGGAGGAATTGATCCAGACTGGGGGATCAATATTCCAAGTCCAAACCTCTGCTTCCCACTTGGAAGTCTCTATCTCTCGCTCCACTTGAGAGTGCCCCTTCTTCTTGAGAGGTCTTCTGTTGCTATGCCGCTTGGAGGTCTTCTCTTCTTCTCTTGTTCCTCTGCCGTTCTGTAGCTCCGAAACGGTAGCTTCGAATCGGCGACAATGGCGCTGCTTCGAAAGGACGAACGGTTAACAGACACCTTCTTCTTCTTCTTTCTTCACGACAAGCGAACGACAGTAGCGTCGCGTCGTCTTCTTCTCGTCGTCGTTCGAACAGTAGCTTCGAACGTATCTTCTTCGACAATGGCGTTCGTTCGTTGCTTCGAACGGACGGTATCTTCTTCGAACGACTTCGAATCGTCGACAATGGCGTCGAACGAACGGTAGCTCTTCTTCTTGTCTTCGAACGAACGATCGCGACAGGCGAACGGCAATGGCTTCGAGCGGTAGCTTCCAATCGTCGACAATGGCGCTGCTATTCGAACGAACGAACGGCGCTCTTCCTCTCGTCGAACGATGGCTCTTCTTCTTCTTGTCGCTCGTTGCTTGCTTGTTCTCCTATCGATCGTGTAGTAGCTTCCACGCCTGATAAGCCGAAAAAGGCTGATGGTGGTGTTGATAAAGAGGTTGCTATAGTGTTGTGTGTTACTACTTGGTTGTTGTGGTTGATTTCTAGTAATCTGGTAACTGGATAGTCATAAATCGCTACCACAGGTCATTTTCGGAATGCTCTTCGGGCCATCTCATTTTGTTAGGTGAAAGATCAAGATTGAAACGCAATTGTTAGCAGTTTTAGCCCAATACATTAATTCTTTTCAAGGTTATCCAGATAGAGCCAAGTGTTGCACTTATCCCGCCAACGATTTTGTCTTTTTTAGACCTTGAAAACATCATGAACCTTTCCAACTCCAACCATATTTTATCTCTAACCCTTATTGACATCACGCACGTCATTTATTTGGCTCTGTTGGTCGGATAATGGTCCAGTCTTTTCTCTGCAGTGACTCTTTATTTAGAGCCTTCAAACCGTAGCCGCCCGTAAGATTTGCAGTCTCGTGTGCAGTGATCCACATGTTTGAATTAGACTCCGCATGCTTACGTTCGAAATTTTGGTGGGCTCGCGTGCTGCCACTCCGAGGACTCCGCCACCACATGAAGCAACAGCACCAATTTTGGCCTCATCCGTTCATGGTCAAAATTTCATTGACTTCCCACAACGGCTCCTAACCTTGTTTATCGCTCCAGCACTCTCTTGTCACTTCTTCAACACTTATATCAATCAAGCTCTTTACTACCGGTAGTTGTATCCCTGACAGCAGCAGTACAATGATCTCACAAACCAAGTCCCTGATATTAGCTTTCGTGCTGGCCCTCCAATGTCTTTCCCACGGAGGAAATGCCAATCTGTTGGGCGGTGAGGTCGTCTTGGACAATGTCAACGAGGGCCCTGGATCGGTGGTGGTCCGCTTCCTTGACACTGACTTTCAAGGATTGACGATGGAGATTGAGTCGGAGGCGGCGGACTTCAATGTCACCGATCTTGACGGTGCAAACGTGACGATTCACCACCTCCCATACCAAAAGCTGTCGGGAATGATTGACTGCATCAATGACAATGCCGGTGCCGACAATGTAGTCATCATCTCGGGAACCATTCAAGGAACAGCCAACGAGATTGGTTACTCGGACGCAAGATATTTCTACGAAGGTGACCGCTTCATGACGGCGGTACAAGGGAACCACCAAGGTAACAATGCTGGCGACCGAGATCAACTAGGAGAAATATCGAATTTGGGGAACCAAGAAAACCCTGATCTTTCCGACTGCTACTACTTCTTTGCCAGCGACTTTGAGCTGAGAGAAGTTGCCGGTGGTCACATCACTGTCTCCAACTAAACTGATATCCCTCCACTCAGCAAGCTACCGAGCTAGCAACCTCATGACTGCTGCCGACGACCAGGGGTCATCATTATCATACTAACCATTTTAAAATACACACTAGTACATGCTTTTTCTAATTTCCGCTGTCCACTACTAGCTAGCAGCTCCGCCTCTGGTGGGTATCCGTAACCTAGCCATTAATAGCCTGGGAGTCCAACTTGAAGGTGCGCTTTAAAGCTGAAACTGGATCATTGAACCGTTTCATTGGAAGAGAAGGTGACATTTTGCAGCTGAGGTGCACCGAATGATCCCGTCATTGCTCATGTTGTTGTAGAGCATGCATCTCAGTAACTCGTCTCATAGAGCCTCTACTAGCAACTAGCTAGGCAGTGGCACTGTAGTTCGCTGGGCCGACAAGCTTTCCTTTTTAACACCAGCTGGCTAAAGCTGGCTCTCTGTGCTGTCGTGCAAATATTACAGACGCAGCAGGATGCATAAAGAACCAAAAAGCTACTACAGTACCAGGTAGTAGCCTGCCTCGTTACCGGCACCCAGTAGCTAGCTACAGTAGGTAGCTAGAAGGCTCTCCTCTTCTGCACTACGAAAACAAAAACTGGGACATAAATTTGTACAATGTTTCCTTGGTCTGCATGGCTTCTGTTGCACCGGCGGTTCGCCGAGAGTGCGAGGCAATCAGAACGTGTGTTTTGGATTTTCTCTTTGTCCAGTACTGTACAGCTGTATCATGCTCCAGTTTAAAGTAGCTAGCTAGCTCGAAGTAGCTTAGCTCTACTTAGAGCTGGCTAGAATTTCGCATCCTCATTGTTGCTGCAAAAAGGATGATGCAGTTCCTTTGGCTCATGCCAGCATGGGCATTTCCGCTATCGGTACCGGAGCATTGGAACGAGAACACCAGCACCTCGGTGCTCGGAGTGGTTTAGCTGCACATGCGGAGGTTTTTGCCTTTTATTAATCGGGAATCGGGATCCCCATTCAGCTCCCCCTTCAGCTCCCCCTTCATTTTAATGGCTTTCCCTCCTGCCGGGTCGGCGTCTTCCTTGGTTCCTTTCAAGAAGAGAAAATTCCGGAACAAAAAAAGAAATAGAGTTCTAGTCATGTGGTATCCCTTTCCTATATCTCGCCACATCATTTCCCCCACTTACATGCGTGCTTCCCTTTAAGTCTCTCCCGTCCGATTCCCTCAGTTTTGAAGGAAATAGCACGTTTTTCGAGTTAAACTTGTACTTTATAGTAGATAGATATCCACTCCTGCCACCAAGACTGCAAATTTCCTAATTACAGTCTGAAAAATGTGTGCGCGCATAGGATGGCTGGCTTAATTTTAAAGGGAAGGATCGTACTCACAAAGTTTCCACCATTTCCACGCTAGTGCCAATGACAACCGAACGGCAGCTTTGATTGAAAGATGGCGGCTAAACCAACCGGAATGGGAGCGACACAATGGTCCTTCATCAAGAAAGTAAGGAGCGACATTGACAGGGAAGGCAGGATGTTTTTCAAGAGCAACAATTGGAGAGAAATTGCACCGCAGAGTGGCCGATACTGCAGCTCTCTGTTGGACCAATCGTCGAGCAAGAAAAGTTCATTGCCTTCCTTCTATGTGCGACCACTTGCGCCATGGGTTCCGCATCTCCTGTTCAAGAATCACACTCCCTCGTGCCCCCACTGCAAGAAGAATGACTGCGTGTCTACTACTGACAGCAAGACAAGATGGATCAATAGTCCCAAAGTTTTGTACGGCGTGTCACGCTACAAATATCTTGACACAAAGCTTTATCCATGCAGCCGTTGCCAGAGGAAGTTCACGGGCTACAACAAGAAGTCTATGCAGTTAGACGCAAACCTGTACAATGCATTCTTTAACTTCTACCTTGGAGCAGACTTTGCTTGTGATGAAGAAGTCTACCGGACAGTCATCGAAGACTCAAGCTCACAGGCTACCGCGGAGATCGCGAAGCGACTCAAGAAGATGGCGTATTCATCCTACTATGATGATTATCTACTCTACCTTTCCGCAGTTGGTTTGGAGAAGATTCGGCCACACAAGAAGCTTCGCACTCTTGATTCTATTCTTGTGAAACAAACTGCCGCGTATGACCCTCAGCTCGAATACTTGAAGCGGCGGAAGAATGAAAAGAGCCGCGCATTAACTGGTTTGAAGCTTTCTCTTTCCACCGCACGCACAAATTGCAACCGCGATATTCAATTTAAGGATCTCCTCAAACCCAAGAAAGATCGCAATGTTCATGGTTCGAAAAACATCCTGCGTGGTCTTGGTCCAGCGAAGCTGCGGCGGTTAATAGATCACGGAGTGAACAGCATGCACGAACTCCTCGGCATTGATCTCGACATTGTGGACTTACCAGTGCATCTTGTCATGCAATGGCAGGACTGGTGTACCCAGTATCTTCAGCAATTTCATGAGCAAGTTGATATTTTGGAAATTCAAGTTTCGGATTGTCAACTTGAGTTATTGGATGCGACACAGGCCTTGCGCGATTACGAGACTGAGAATGGCACAGGTGGCAATGCTGCGGCGCCGCCGCCGAATGAACAAGAGAGCGTGGAGCAGCTTCCCCTGTTTTCTGATTTCACGGACAAGGATGGGTATAATGGAAAGTATCTCACCAAGAGCCGCATTGACAGCATTGTTACCACTGTCTTTCACCAGCGCAAGACTTTCCAAGAAGCCAAGATGAGAGGATTGAATTGCTCTGTGGCAAAGATTGATTTTAATTACAAGCTGGCCAAAAAAATTCATGTGTGGACAAAGCGAGGTCAAAGCTTTGCTCCTTACAAGTGTATTGTCACCATCCAAAACGAGGATGGATTGACAATCTTCTGGAAGGGTCTACGGCACAGTGAGTCTTTCAGTGAAATCGAAGAAGATTTGAAGCGACTTCGCAAACGTCTGAATCTCAATCTCAAGAAGAAGAAAGTTTGGGAAGAGATAACAATTGCCAAGGAGTTGATGGGCGATGCATACGATGCCACAGTTGTTACCAGAGTGGAAGATGTGGCGCATGAGGAGGCAGTAAAAGTGGTGTACGTTGACAATTGTTGCCAGGTAAATCGGTTGGTCAATCGATGCTTTCCAGGGGCCGAGATCAAGTTGGATCCTTTCCACTGGCTCAAACGCTTCAATGACATCTATGCAGATGCTTCAAGTGCACAAGCTGGCATCCTTCGGGGTCTATTCAGCCGTGCCTTATTTAATGTGGAGCCAAGCGAATTCCAAAGAGCCAAAGATCTGTTAACAGAAAAGAATGGTGGCAGGGAGCCAACAGTAAAGGAGGTTTTGAAGGAAGCCAAGTCTGTCATCCCCAGTGCACAGATACTTAGAGCCAATGTCGAATCGGTCATCTGGTATGCTCAAGCCAAGGATGCAGAGATTGAAGCTGACTTGGCCACTCGCGCTGACAATGACACACGTCCTTTGCCAAAGCGATTCTTCAAGAACAGACCAGATGTTCGAAAGGTGATCCGTAACCAGTTGAAACATGTGGACAAGGGATGTCTTACAGACCCAACAGTTGTCAATCTGTTCAGACGAAATCCTACAACCAATGTTGTCTATGTTGCCCGTGGAACTAACACCAATGAGAGAGACAATTTGGACCTTGCTTATCGAATTTTGAGGGCCTCACATATTGGTACGTTGCAACTACGGGTTCGTTGTCATTGGTCCCATTTTTGTCTAACCGGTTAACACAATGCTGTTCAGGTATACATCGCGCAGAGCGACTTATGGGCAATTTCTTTGAAGAAAAGAATGATAGGAAAGCGGTACTGAGACTTGGAGAAAAGGATCATGTCACATCTCAAACCGAGAAGCTTCTTGTGATTCGGAGTTATGCCCGGACGGTGGGCTTTACTGATGACGACCTTCCCTTTGGTGATGTCGCTGCTCCTTTGGTGGATCACGGCGATAAGGAATATTTGGGTTTCTGCTACAAGATGCCAGAAACAGTCCATGATGTGTCCAATCCTACGGACGCCGCTGGTAGGGTTCGGCCACTGGATAACAACGATGATGATCCAGAGCATCTTCCTGGGTATGAGAACGTTCCAGGAGGCTCTCAACCAACAGAAGAGGAGAGGGAACAAGCAAGAGCAATAGCAGCTGTTCGAAATATGGTTGGTGACGATGAGGATATTGAAGTTTTCGCTACTGAAGAAGAGTACTTGGCAGCCATGCAGTCTGACACAATTTCGAATGGGGATGAGCGCTTAAATACACAAGACGAAGCAGCCAACCGGCAAGACAGAATCAACAATGAGATTATCCTAAAGGAGTTAAGTCTCCTCCTACCACAGGATAATGGTCGCGAGACTTCACTGCAAGCCTTCAAGCGACTAACTGACCAGAGACATTGGATACCCTTTCGCGATCCTCATTCCAAGACTCCACCAACAGTAGTGGAAACTGAAGAGGCAAGTGTCTTTGATGAGTGGAAGAGTCGATTTGATCGACATGCCGACAGTGGAGGTAGAAGCTACCGTGCTTTGGAAAGAGAGTGGAATACCGAAGTCGCTCGCCGATTCAAGCTTTCCCTTACCGATGGCGATGACAACCTTATCCAAATTCGGCGAAAGAGCAGAGTGCAGCTAGAAGACTACTTCGACAAGCTGCAAAGTGTGGCCTCGCTGGATGCCATTGCGCCAAGGGATGGAGTCGATCCATATCAGGCCAATGTCAATGCACAGCTTCGTGCCAGCAGAGAACTGTTAGATCCTCCACCAGTGCCATTTCGCTGTCAACAGAGACAATATAATGGGAATGGTGTTACTCCCTTTGCTGCTCCAACCACACTCAATGCTGATGTTGCCGCTGGTGCACTAAGGACTGTTCGCCAGCATAATGGTCAAGAACCTATTGTGGTTGATGGTGTTTCTCACAGGCTTGTACCTCATGAGTTTGTCAGAGCTGTGGTGCCAGAGCAACAGCCACAGCCACCACCAAAGAAAGTATTCAGGAGCAGGATGTATTGCTCTGTTTGTGGGCACAGAAAGAAGGACCATGCTAGACAGGAAAAGGCTGGCAAGAACTGTGTTAGAGATTGGTGTGGCAAGTGTCATGAGAGGAAGGATTGTCATGGTGCTGATGATGGCTT